AAGTCAACCAAATAATACATATTTTTAATATCCATATTTAAGGAACTGTACCAGGGCCTGAGGATAGAGAAACATGGTCTTTGCCGTCGTAAAGTTACATTCAGAAGAGGTAATCGTTATATAATTACTTACATATTTAGTTACGAATGTGATAAGTACCACATACAGAAATACTAGATGCTAACAAAATACAAAATACATAACATTATATCTATCTATATCTATGTATATATACATAACATAATATATAGGTATGTGTGTACACACACACACACACACACACACACACAGAGTAAAGCAAAACAAAGGCACTTGCTTTATCACCCACTGAGACTTTCTTTCCCCAAATCCAATGAGAGTTCAGCTGGAGCCTGTGGGGGCCTCCTTCTTTTAAGCCAGAGAGTTCTCTATATTCTATAGCTGGACAGGCCAAGGGCCTGCTCTTCCCACTTCTACCCAAAGTCAGACCTCAGATCTAATCCTGATGTTGTGGGCACTCCATCATGGAAGAAGGGCCGTGTGAGAGGAGAGAGGGAGATGGAACTTGCCCCCGCTGCCTTGACCAGCTCCAGGCCCTTCTTGGCTAGGGGATGAGAAGGCTGTGGGGGTTTAATGGAAAGGAAGACTAATTTTCTCTAAATTTTTAATTTTATTTTATTTTTCAGGGACAGAGTCTTGTTGTCATCTTTGAGATGCCATTTACAGTTGTGTCACACAGGTTGGAGTGCAGTGGCATGATCTCGGCTCACTGCAACCTCCGCCTCCCAGGTTCAAGAGATTCTCCTGCCTCAGTCACCGAAGTAGCTGGGATTATAGGTGTTCACCACCACACCTGGCTAATTTCTATATTTTTAGTAGAGACATATTTTCACCATGTTGGCTAGGCTGATCTTGAACTTCTGGCCTCAAGTAATCCACTGGCCTTGGCCTCTCAAAGTGCTGAGATTATAGGTGTGAGCCACTGTGCCTGGTCTTGGAAGGCTAATAATTTTCAAGGAAGAGACACTCTTTCAAGTCCTCCCTTTTCTTCATTCCTAGACATCAGTCATTCTACCAGCCTCCTGACTCTCTTCTGCATTGCCTTTCTCCTCTGGTTCTCCGCCCCCCCCACCGCCCCCGCCATGTTTCAGTGTTTTCCAGTGTTCTGCCATTGGGCTCCTGACTGTCTCTGTGCTACCTGCATATCTCACCTGCACCCATACCGTCAACTACTGTTCATATATCCACAACTTTCAAGACAACTTTTTCCCTAGATAGTCAGCAGATAACATCGTCACAGCCGAGTACCTGGTGTGGCAGGATACTTGGCTTTTGATAGCCATTGAGTTAGTGGTGAGCAGGGAATGGAAGAGCCCAGGATAGCTCCAAAGAGGACTTCCAGAAATGTTTTCAGGTATCAGTACTATTGGAATTAGGGCATATAGTCTCCATTTAAAGGGCAGCATTCATGTAAGTGTTTAATATCTGATTCATTTTTAAAGAAGTCTTTCCAACTAATTTGTAGGCACCTGGAGGGAAAAGCAATGAAACTTTGTTAAACTGCTCCCTGAGATGAAATATCTGACACCCCTATAATTGGATCTGGGTCCCATCTGTGCAGAGAGCATGGCACAGGCTGGAGGCAGATGGCATCTTTGAGATGCCATTTACAGTTGTCATAGTGAATGAGCAAGAAGAAAGGACAAGAAAGAAAACTCCTTTCTAATCTCTGCTTGGATAACAAAGGAAGTGAGAGTAAAAAAGAAATTTGCCTTGCTGGCAACTCAGAGAGAAGATGAGGGCTGGGCTGGTGCCTTTTCTTTTTGGACCGGGTAGTGAGTTAGCATCAAAGGGACATGTGAGTGAGCAGAGATGCCATGAGTTCTGGGGCTTTGAAGGGCAGCAAAGAGGGTAGAGGCCAGAAATATCTGGGGCTTGTTCAGGCTGATAAAAGACTGGGGCCAACATCATCTTTATGCTACCCACCGGGGTGAACTGATAAAGTCATTGTGTCTCTTAGGTACCCATGCCCACAATTGGAGTATTTCTCTTTTTTTTCTTTTCTTTGTTTCTTTTTTCCAATGGAGTCTCCCTCTGTCACCTAGACTGCAGTGCAGTGGCCCAATCTTGGCTCACTGCAACCTCTGCCTCCTAGGGTCAAGCAATTCTAGTGCCTCAGCCTCCCAAGTAGCTGGAATTACAGGTGTGTACCACCACGCCTGGCTAATTTTTTGTATTTTTGGTAGAGACAGGGTTTCACCATGTTGCCCAGGCTGGCCTCAAACTCCTGACCTCAAGTGATCTGCCCGTCTCAGCCATCCAAAGTGCTAGGATTACAGGTGTGAGCCACCACACTTGCCTAGGCCACAATTGGAGTATTTCTTTGATTTCGAATCAGCTGTGTTCTGGGGAGAAACACTGATATGGAGAACCAGGAATGCTGCAGACAGCTGTATGTGGCCTTTCTGGTATGTCGGCAAGAGTTTGCCTATTTTCCTCTCTCTGCCTCCATTGATTTTCACTTGCTAATAGATGACCTGGGCTGACCCAAGACCAGGTCATGTGGGACACCGAATCTAGGCATTGCTGCTGAAGGGATGATTTACTAAAGAATAAACACTTCTTTTGGCAAAGAGATCAGTAGATCTGGGTCAATCCAAAGCTAGCAGTGGTTCTGAGTACAGGAGAAGAGGGTTGACCCTACAGGTATCTAAGCTGCAGGCTTCCTTTCACACTTGGAGACTACGAAGTGAGATTAACTAGAAGGGAGAAACAGGAGCTGAGTTGTGGAGAGTCATTTTCTGACATGGAGAATTAACTTTCTCACTCTTCTTAGATAGGAGCCTGTCGTTGGGTTTCCCAGAAAGCAGAACCTGAGGCAGAGGGCTTATATTTATTATGCAGTAGACCATCAAACCCTAGGCATCAGGAGGCGGAACCAAAGGCAGTAAAGCCAGGGAAGGAGAGCCCGTGTAGGATGCCTGATTGTACCGGTCTCCACGGAGGGCGGGTATTACCCCATCTGTGTGACAGTGTCCTTAGATGCTGAAGAAACTAAGTCTTTGTTGGACAGCCCTTCACAGGAAAGAAGGGAGGAAGGATTTATCTACCAGTTCCTGTCCCTATGGGATTTTAACTCCCCTGCACGTCCAGATGGCATGTGCTGGGGTGTGGGTGCCACAGCAGGGAAGCCCCAGAATAGGAGACAAGACCTGTTCATGTTGTCAAAACCCATGCAGGGATCAGACAAGGAGCAGGGGAAGATGAGAGAGGCTGATGAGTTCTTAAGAGGTGTCTGCCTCAATGGGAAAGCATGAACTGGGGTTGCAGAATATCCCTGCTTGGTGACATGACTGCAGTCGTGAGCCACCGTGCCCTGCCTGTTTGTTTTTGATGTTATTGTAAATGAAATTGTTTTCTTAATTTCATCTTTGGACTGCTCGTTGCTAGTGTATAGAGACACAATAGATTTTTATGCCAGGTGCAGTGGTGCATGCCTGTCGTCCCAGCTACTAGGGAGGCTGAGGCTAGAGGATTGCCTGAGTCCAGGAGTTCTGGGATGTAGTGCGCTATGCCAATCGGGTGTCCGCACTAAGTTTGGCATCAATATAGTGACCTCCCAGGAGTAGGGGACCACCAGGTTGCCTAAGGAGGGGTGAACCGGCCCAGGTCGGAAACAGAGCAGGTCAAAACTCCTGTGCCGATCAGTAGTGGGATTGCGCCTGTGAATAGCCACTGCACTCCAGCCTGGGCAACATAGCAAGATCCTGTCTCTAAAAAAAAAAAAGAAACAATAGATTTTTGTACATTGATCTTGTATCCTGCAACCTTGCTGAACTCCTTTCTCAGCTCTAATAGTTTTTTTGGTGTGGATTCTTTAGGGTTTTCTATATATAAGATCATATAATTTACAAGTAGAGATAGTTTTACTTGTCTGTAGGGAGTTTTATTTTGTTATTTTGAGACGGAGTTTTGCTCTGTCGCCTAGGCTGGAGTGCTGTGATACAATCTTGGCTCACTGCAACCTCTGCCTTCTGAGTTCAAGCGATTCTCCTGCCTCTCAGCCTCTTAAGTAGTTAGGATTACAGGCACGTGCCACCATACCCCGCTAAGTTTTGTATTTTTAATACAGATGGGGCTTTGCCATGTTGGCCATGCTGGTCTCAAACTTCTGAGCTCAGGTGATCTGCCCACCTTGGTCTCCCAAGGTGCTGGGATTACAGGTATGAGCCACTGCGCTTGGCTGGGAATTTGATTTTAAAGAAATAAAAAATTAGATCCCCTTCCACTCTTCCTGTCTGAACAACCACTTGAGGATTGACTGAGACTGTTGGAAACTATGTTACCTCGGGGAACCGAGGCCTTCATATGGTTTCCCACATTGCTATATTACCTGGAATATATGCAGAATATTTAAAAGAAGAACAACCCAAAGAAATCAGTGGCTTCCTGATAGACCAGGATTAAATAGCTTCAGTTAAAGGAGTCCCAGAATTACCTAGGAACCTTGTGGAGAAGTTCTTCAGTTTGCCCCAACCTGCTTCTGAGGCTTGATCCTGTGTAGTGAGACATGACATTTTCCCCCTTGGGATAGCAGTGACTTGAAGAAGAGTGCCACACCACCCTGCTGGGATGAGAAAGGTGGAAGCAGGTCTTACCTGTGTAGTTGCAGAGAGGGGCTCACTCAGGACCCAGCCCTGGGCCTTGTTCGATCCTACCCGAGTGGGATGCCAGTGGCATCCAGTGGCCTGTCAGGTGAATCACAGGTTGGAATTCTGATCTGTACCCAAGCAGGAATCTTTCCCTTCCCTCTAAATCAGGTAATGGGCCACGCTCATTCATGATGAAGAGAAGCTGGGTGATTGGCTTGGAAGAGGTTGCATTGCCTAACTCAGTGTCTGCCTCTGAGGATGAATGGTGACCTGCAGAGATACCAGCTGTGCAGATAGACTAATCTCCTTTAGAATTTTCCCCAAGCCCATTGGTGCATTTTGTGAGTCGACTGCCTTTTTCTCTTTTAGAAATTCTGACAAAAATTAATGATGTATCAGTGTTTAATGATACCTGTGTGAGATGGCAAATGAACTCAGAAAGAATAAACTCCAAGATTGTATATGTGGTAAGTAGTGATCTACTTTTTCCTTCTAGGATAGACACTGTCACCCCTGGGAATATGAGTCAGAGGGACTTAATTCCATGACAGCTTCTCAATCTAATTGGTTTTTTTTCTTTTTTTCTTTTTGAGACAGAGTCTCACTTTACAGTGCAGTGCTGTGATCTTGGCTCACTGCAACCTCAGCCTCCTGGATTCAAGCAATTCTCCTGCATTAGCCTCCTGAGTAGCTGGGATTACAGGTGCACGCCACCATGCTTGGCTAATTTTTTTGTATTTTCAGTAGAGACAGGGTTTCACCATGTTGGCCAGGCTGGTCTTGAACTTCTGACCTCAGGTGATCCGCCTACCTCAGCCTCCCAAAGTGCTGGGATTACAGGCATGAGCCACCGTGCCTGGCCTCAATCTAATTGCTTTCTAATGCCACTGTCATTTAAAAAGAATGGACAGGATTTTCAAGGATAACTGGATGATTTCGTTATTTTACATTTAGCATATGTGTCATTCGGCAGGGTGCATTGTGGGGGATGCGTTTATATTTGGCATCCTCATGATTGCTTGTTTTCAAGCACTTGTATTTCACTCCCCCAGAGCAAGCCTGGGAATGTCTGCTGACTTGGTGACAGAGTGCAGCCGGTGGTCCTCAGGTTGCAATCGCCTCTATTTGATCATTTGTGTGCAGGAGAGAGCACTTCCTAGGGAGATTCCTCATTTATGTCTTTTTTAGGGTTTTAGTAATCACTGGGCGAATCAGAGTTTATCAGCAGATACCTGGTAGCAGAGGTTTATTTATCAGCAGATACCTGGTAGCAGAGGTTTACCTTATGAATGCTCCCTGGCTGAGCAGCGCAGTATAAAATGGAATAGTAGAAGGGGCTCCAGCACCACAAATTCTGGATTGTTTTGACTGGAGTCACAGTGGGTTCTCTTGTCTTTTCCTCTTAAAGATATCCGTAAAAGGACAACGGTTGGACGCTATAGAATCAGTTCATGAGGAGACAGTCAAGTTGACCACAGACAGCAGGACCCCAGAAGTGTGCCTCGCCTTGTATCCAGGCACCAACTACACCGTGCACATCTCCATAGCACCTCCCAGGCGCTCTGTGCCAGCCGTCATTGGTTTCCAGACAGCTGGTAGGTGGAGGTGAAGTCTCATTTCCATTTCCTTGTAGAAAATGCTAAGCACAGGATGTAGGAAGCATGCTGCAGAATCAGCTGGGCTTGAGAGCTCCTATTTGCTTTCTGAGATTTATAATCAGATGTAGTTGCTCCAGTGGCAGAACCACAGCTGGTCGAGAGATCCCCATCCTCTTGGTTCCAGGCTGAATGGGCTCTGGGGTGTTTTTTTTTTCAGCTGAGCCCTCCAGAAGAGGTGGAAGGTAATAAAAAGGCATTTAAAAAGAAAACATTAGGTGATGATCAGTCCATTCTCAAATATCCAAGGCAACAGAGGGTAACCATGTGGCTTATCTTTGGTAGTAAACTCAAAAGTCATTTTTGGCCAGGTGTGGTGGCTCATTCCTATAATTGCAGCGCTTTGGGAGGCTGAAGTAGGTGGATCACTTGAGGTCAGGAGTTCCAGACCAGCCTGGCCAGATGGCAAAACCCTGTCTCTGTTAAAAATAGAAAACCTTAGCCGGGCATGGTGATATACACCTGTAGTCCCAACAACTTGGGAGGTTGAGGCAAAAGAATCACTTGAACCCGGAGGGTGGAGGTTGCAGTGAGTGAGCCGAGATTGCACCACTGCACCACTCCCGCCTGGGCCACAGAGTAAGACTCTGTCTCAAAAAAAAAAAAAAAAAAAGAGTCACTTCTCACCCTTGCCTGTGAAAGTGGAGATGCCAGGAAAGCTGACCCACTAACTTTGAGGGGATCGAGTTGAGAGTACGGAAGTGGAAGCAGCGGTACTCCTAGGGTGCAGGTGTTAGCTGAAAAGCGGAGTGGAAGGAAGGAGCTTAAAGAAGTAGAAACAGAGCCGGGCGCGGTGGCTCACGCCTGTAATCCCAGCACTTTGGGAGGCCGAGGCGGGTGGATCACGAGGTCAAGAGATCGAGACCATCCTGGTCAACATAGTGAAACCCCGTCTCTACTAAAAATACAAAAAATTAGCTGGGCATGGTGGCTCGTGCCTGTAATCCCAGCTACTCAGGAGGCTGAGGCAGGAGAATTGCCTGAACCCAGGAGGCGGAGGTTGCTGTGAGCCGAGATCGCGCCATTGCACTCCAGCCTGGGTAACAAGAGCGAAACTCCGTCTCAAAAAAAAAAAAAAAAAAAAAAAGAAGTAGAAACAGCCCTCGTTGTATATAATTGTCACATGGGTTTTTTTTTTTTTTTTTTTTAAAAACATTGTGACAATTCCAGTAAGTTAAAAAAAAAAAACAACCCTCTGGTTATGGGGTATGAGGACTGACTAAATACCTTGTAGATAGGTGGGGTGCACTGGCTCATGCCTATAATCCTAGCACTTTGGGAGGCTGAGGAAGATTGCTTGAGGCTAGGAGTTTGAGGTCAACCTGGGCACAGGTTGTAGAGATGGGGTCTCAACACAGTGAGACCCCATTGCTACAACAAAAAAAAAAAGAAAGAAAGAAAATTTAGCCTGGTGTGGTGGTGCATGCCTATAGTCCCAGTTACTTGGGTGGCTGAGGCAAGAGGATCACTTTAACCCAGTAGTTCAAGGCTGCAGTGAACTATAATCGTGCCACTGCACTCCAACCTGGGTGACAGGGCAAGATCCTGTCTTAGAAAACAAACAAACAAACAAACAAACAAACAAAAACTCTGAAGACAAACTTGGAAATAATTGATGTCATTTATATATTTATTTTTTGAGACAGAGTCTCGCCCTGTCGCCCAGGCTGGAGTGCAATGGTGTGATCTGGGCTCACTGTAATCTCCGCTCACTGCAATCTCTGCTTCCCAGGTTCAAGCAATTCTCCTGCCTCAGCCTTCTGAGTAGCTGGGATTACAGGCACTCGCTACCAGGACCTGGCTAATTTTTGTATTTTTAGTAGAGACCGTGTATCACCATATTGGCCAGGTCTCAAACTCCTGACCTCAAGTGATCTGCCCACCTCAGCCTCCCAAAGTGCTGGGATTACAGGTGTGAACCACCACACCTGGTTGATGTCATTTATTATTTTGGGGGAGTTGAGGAAGTTCTTAATTAGCTGTTTGATATCCCACCTAAAATATACCTTAACCCGACTAGTTGGGAAATGACACATATTCCGCAGAAATAGTTGAAAAGTCTGCCAATCTTTTTTTTTTTGAGACAGAGTCTCTGCCACTCAGGCTGGAGTGCAGTGGTGTGATCTTGGCTTACTGCAACCTCTGCCTCCTGGGATTCAAGCGATTCTTCTGCCTCAGCCTCCTGAGTAGCTAGGATTACAGGCTCCCACCACCATGCCCAGCTAATTTTTGTATTTTTTAGTAGAGACGGGTTTCACTATGTTAGCCAGGCTGGTCTCGAACTCCTGACCTCAGGTGATCCGCCTGCCTTGGCCTCCCAAAGTGCTGGGATTACAGGCGTGAGACATCACACCCAGCCAAGTCTGCCAATCCTAAGAATATAAAACCAAGTATGAGATTATACAAATTAGATCTCTTGATATTTGTATATAAATAAAACAAAATTAATTCTTTATAAGTAAATAATAGGCAAAGATATTATAAAATTAATATGGAAACTAATCAGAGAAGTCTTACAAATTTATTAGTAAACTACTATAGGGAAATGTCTTTAAATGATAATCACTCACCTGTCACTGTTCAGTGAGGATGACCGGTTGCTGTTTGGTTTGGTTTTTATTAATATCCAATTACCTGCTCAAGGTCCTTTCCCTTGGAAAAAAACACGGTCTTTGGAGTCAGGCAGATCCAGTTTTACATCTTAACTCTATATTGAAGAGCTGGCTGATCATGGCTAAGTTTAGTCTCTGGACGAAAGGGAATTGGATTATATTTGCAAGTTAATCTAGAGAGAATTAGGATTTATATTGAGTCATCCTAACTGGGAGCAAGGTATGTTTCCACATTTACTCAGTGTCTACTCAAGTCTTCTGTTTATTTATGTACTGCCATAAAGATTTGTCGTCCTTTTCCTCCAGATCCTGCACCTTCTGTTGTCTGATTTCATTATCAGAGTTATGCTATTTTCTTAAAATGGATTGAGAAGTTTTCCATTTTTTTCCCTCTGGAATAATTTATATAACATTGGAATTATTCCCTTCCTTTAAAGTTGGACATTTGCTCAAAAGATCATTTAAGTTTCACCCCTTTAAGGAGATGATTCTTTGACAACTTTGCCAATTTCTTCCATGAGTTTGGGTGTGTTTATGTTTCTGACATTTTCTTGAGTCAATTTTTATAATTTATATATTTTTCTAAAAAATGTATATTTGGTTTATATGTTACACATATTGACAGAATGTCATATGGAATATTTGCTTACATCTCCTCTGGGGCTATAGGTTATATAATCCCAGGTGATTCTGACTCCTAATTTTGGTTCTCATTCTCTTTTTAGAGGTTGATTGGCTTGGGTTGTGAGTTTTATTACTAATTTTTTTCTCCCTGGGGTATGAACTATTGGGTTTTAAAATTGTATTTCTTTTCTCCTTTTGTTTTTATTTTTCCTTCTCCATGTTTCTCTCTCTCTCTCTCTCTCTCTCTCTCTTTTTCGAGACACCCAGCTCTGTCAGCCAGGCTGGAGTGCAGTGGTGCAATCACAGCTCGACCTCCTGGGCTCAAGTGATCCTCCCATCTCAGCCTCCCCAGTAGCTGGGACTACAGGCATGCACCACTATGCCTGGCAAATTTTTGTATTTTTTATAGAGACAGGGTTTCGCCATGTTGTCCAGGCTGGTCTCGAACATTTGGGCTCAATCGATCCACTTGCCTCAGCCTCCCCAAGTACTGGGATTATTGGTGTGAGTCACTGTGCACAGTCCATATTTCTGTTAAATTGGTTATATTGTTCTGTTTCTAAATTCTTGAGTTGAGTGCATAACAAAATTCAACTTATTTCCATTCTTTTCTGTTTGATAATAGAAGTCTTTAATGATTCTTTCTCCCTTCCAGTTTTGAGCTTTGGCAGAATTCTTTAGGCATTGATATATATTTCAACGAATGATATAATTGCTATTCTGATTTTATGGTTGATGAAATAATTATTTATGAGTGTTTTAATATGTGTTCTCTTTACGTTTACTTTCAAAGCATTATACAATTACTATTTTGATTTCTCCTTTGAATAATTAATTATAAGCATTTTATACAGTGGTAGATTTTTTTCTTTTTAACATTTATACTGTGTTGTTACTTTCTAGTTTTATTACATTTTGGCATGTTTTGGGGCATTCATTGACATTTTCTTGGGGCTTGCCATTTGGCCAACTTTGGTAATTTCAGTAGGTACTAGATAATAAGGCAGAGTATTTGCTTGTAAGGGGAGTAAGATCTATCATTAAGTCAACTTTATTAATAAGGTTATTCAGGACTTCTGGTTTTTGTTTATTTTCAATGTGGATTGTCATTTTCTGTTCCTCTTAGAGATTCCTATTAGTTTGTTTCACACATTTTGATATGATATTTATGTTCACGACTGATATCTTTATTATAGATTCTTTCACTAGTGACAAATGCCTTATTTTAGCCTATTTAATACCTTTGCCTTGAATTATATGTTGAAAGTAATATTTTTTCTTGATTTATTTGTGCTTGCATTAGCATGATATTCCTTTGTCTACTTTTTTTCCTTCTTGAAAGCTATCTAAATAATATTGCTATAAATGTACTCTAGGAGACAGCATGTATTGAGAACTTTCCTGGGAAAACTTTCATTTTTGAGTAGATAAGTCATCCAACTTACATCATTGTTATTTGTGATATATTTTCCTTTCTTCTGTTTATTTATTTGTTTGAGATGGAATCTCACTGTGTTACCCAGGCTAGAGTGCACTGGCCCAATCTTGGCTCACTGCAACCTTGGCCTCCCAGGTTCAAGCAATTCTTGTGCCTCAGCCTCCTACAGCTGGGATTACAGGCATGAGTCACCATGGCCCGCCCCCCCCTTTTTTTTTTTTTTTTGCCTTTGAGATACACTTTAGCTCTGTTGGCCAGACTGGAGT